CGAGGCAGGTTTCGAAGTTTCTTTTTCGCGTTCTCTCACAACAAACATGGCGGAAACGAAAGCGCCAAATTCAGCTTATCTTGGTGGCAAAATAGAGCAGCAGTTTTTGGAACCAAAATAAAGATAAAAATCAACTGAGGACTAGGAAAATAGTATTTAAAACCCCAGTCTATTGACTATTTTATGTAATTTGTATATATATAATTACTTGTAACAGTATAATACATATACGCAAATATTTACCTTCAAAAGCATCTCATCTCTTTATTATTTGTTAATTCACTGATAAAATGAAAAACATATGCTGTCATCCAATTCGTTCCACATATACAGTAGCTGAGACATTCTTTTGGTATCCATTTTGAAACCGAATGGTGAAACCATCCACTCGTTTATAAAACTAGAAACTAGTTTCACTTTGAAACCATGTGTCCGAAACTAGACACTCGTTTATAACAGGAGAAACCAGTTTCAAAAACCAAAACCAGTTTCGCAATAATCGAACAGGCCCTTAGAGAAAAGACCATAGCCTCAATAGTTTCATCAGTTCCTATGTACATTTGCCAGTGGTCGAGCACAGCTCTCTCTTCAACGTACGGAGGGACATTGGCAGGCCTTTATTACCCCATCTCTTTAAGTACACATTTGAACATTGTAAAACCGAAATTAAACGTGTAACTAGAAACGACAAGACCCTTTCCACATCCATAAGACGTCTCTACAAAATCATGTTGATATCAGCTTCCCGAATAAACAGTCTTTATACAGAAAATACAAATCCTTTCCAGAGTCATCTCAGCGAAAATAAGAACCCATAAATGTGAATTATTGAGAGAAGAGTTCCCTTGAGAGGTTATTACGGGTCAGATGCTTTCCTATACGATTATGTGATACTACTTGCGTACACCTGAACGGCTAAAACTGCTATAAAACATGGCATGAATGATTCAAGTCATGTGAGGCGTCCAGCATGTATCAGTTGCTTTAATGTGATTAGACTGATTCCTCAGCAGCAGAATGTCAAAATCTCGTTTGCATCCAATTTGTAAACGATTAAGCGTATATTTACTGTACAAATACACAAGCGCCCCATAGCAATACTTCCCAAACACTAACCTTCGATCTGGGTTGGCCTCTCTCTTCCGGTGCGTGCAAATGATGTCTGTAGGATTGGCCTGAAAGTGGTTCCATTCTTCAGATCAGACAGTTAGTTGTGATATTTCGTCATTTTAGATTTATGAAATCTCCTGATTAATTGTAAACAGGTGTGGAGTATATAACGCAGCTACTAATCAAGTCAACAGCCCCCTTCAAGGAAAGGTTTCCATTACGGTGGCTGGAAGTGGCAGTGTGTGCCCAGTGTTATTCCATGAGAAATTTCTAATATAATTCCATCAGAAATTTCTAATATAATTAATTTAGTGATATATGATGTACAAGATTTGACAAATTGTTACGAAGACGATGGATTGAACCTACAGCTTCTTGACAATATATCGCTTAAACAAAGTCTCCGAGAAAGGTACATACGTCATACGTTTGGCACAAGCTTCTTTGCAGTGTAATCATGCGGACTCGCAGTGCTATGGGGAAACATTTAAGATAGTGTTTACGAATTAGCTGCGTTGAAATAGGTTATCGCCCTTGGCTGGAAAGAAATGTGTATATAATTAATGCTCTCATCTCTGTCCTGAATGTGTGTTATCAGACTCATGCCAGACGTGATTTGATACACTACACTTCTTCACCCGCAAGGCAGCAACATGCAGATCGCAGCGGTGATCTATGACGGTGATAATAGATCGATTATGGATAATCAAATATATCATCAAATCAGGCCAATCCACGATATGTTCCTACCACCTGTAATGCAACCATCCACTCGGTAGCCATACTCTTAAATCTGTGTTACTCTGATACTTGTGGGGCGTAGTTTACCTTTTTATTGCAGCGTGCCCAACCACTATATCATATATTGAAATATATGAAATCGAACCTGTTTGTTTTTTCCGTTAACTAGTAGCCTATGCCCCTGGTATACCGAAGACACATAAACCTGCTCGTTTTCAGCATGCCACGACACCATAGCCTCACAGAACATGCGCCCCACAGTTTCTGATGTCTCTGAATGCACAGTGTTCTATCAAAAGAGTCTGCCTCAGGTGTAAATGGCCATGATTCATCCCTCGGTGGGTAAGGTGTGAGGTATCTAATCATGGCTGCTATCAACGTTGTGACAATTGTTTACTATGTCCTCTAAACCCAGTGTCTAGACAAGGCTGGTCATCAGCCGTCAGATGAGTTTTAACCGGACGCTTGTGTGGATCCTAGATGACGATAAGCGGCCTTCAAGAGTAGGTGGCTGAAGAAGGATCTGATGGAACAGCAGAATCAGAGAAGCTCAGTTACAAGCATCGATAACCGTTCCTGAAAACACTGTTCGTGTTCATGCCCAATCTGCTTTCATAGCTTTGTGCATAGGCTTATTTATCCTCTTGACACCCATCCGCGTGCTTTGATCTACCGCTTTTACCTCGTCGGACTATCCTCCAACCGACACACCGTGATATAACAGAAATACTGAAGCTATGCTGGCCAAAATGATATCTCTCTATGATTGGTCCGATGACCCCGGTGAGGACGGTCAAAGGGTCAGATGCCGAAATCAGGAGAGGCACTAAACCACCAACCACAACCCTTGCCACTAGCATCCAGAACAAGCAGGAACAATGTTTGTGTGGGTTCGAATCCCGGATTATATTATTGGTTTGACAGCAGAATAGTGTTCAATAGTGTTCATATTAACCCACTCTTCGTCTTATTTGTGAAAATCATGCTGTTGATCACTGGCTTGTCTGGTCCAGACTCGATTATTTACAGCTGGAATATTGCTGAGTGCGGCGTAAAACTAACTGACTCACTCACTATTTGTGAAAAGGAGGCGTTTGGATAAACGGGTTTCCACTATGCACATATGTAACTCTATAATGCATTTCCTCATGTTGAAAGGTCTGGGAAACGCAGAAACAGTCTTTAAGTGGTTAAATGAGATTTTTTGCAAAAATCAACTTTCATCTGCTGGTGATGGATACACTGTCTTGTGTTTTGGTGATTCATGTAAATCAATTACAGCACCCAATAAATTACTGAGGCAGAAAGTTGGCTCCGTTTTTGTCAACATGCGCACCGTCGTCCCCATACTCAAAGACATCGATCGCTCCACAGAATTAATGCGATAATGTATTTATTTCATCCCGTATGTTGCTACACGGTCCATATCAAACCGGACGTAATCCGATCTCCTAAAGTCAAGGGTCAAGGGTGGGCTTCGCGATTAACACGAAACTGTCTAATCAGTTTTCCGAAAGTTCTCTATTTCCTGCCCAGATGACGGCATTGCAAGATGGCATCGATAAACGTACAGTTGATGTCGTCCAAATCAAATCACATTCTGACTATATCATAGCCTGCAATATTGCTAATGCCCTTGTGACATCAACTCAGCTTGTTATTATCTTGACTGATTTTGTGGCTGGTAAACACATGCACGAGTATCCTGTTAAAATTCTCTTTCATCCCGTCACACCCACCCTAATGTAAGTTTACAAGCACTGAGCACACTTGTTTCATACTCTGTGTTTGAGCTCAGTTCACGGCTGACGTGGACACAATTTATCTACTCCGTAAAACGATATTCCTGCACAAGCAATGGATTTAGTGATTTGTGAGTGTGGTGCATGGCTTAAGGTTAGATACACCATTGAGGGATACCCAAAGGCTCAATTCTCAAGGCATATTCTAAAAGAGACCCAACTCTGGTGTAGGGTATTGAGGGTCACTCCAGCAATGAATTAATATTTAGTGTAAAACCCAGACATTAGTTATGTAAAAATGGTAAAAATTATCTGTGACATTCAAACATGTGATACATAAACACAAAATACAGGGTCTTGTCTCATGTTGTTTGTTGTTTTTAACAAGCCAGGATGTGACTGTATTATTGCTGAGGAAGTTCTTCAACAAGTCAGGATATGACTGTACAATTGCTGAAGGCGTTGTTCAACAAACTAGGATACGACTGTACTGTTGCTCAGGATATGACTGTACTATTGCTGAAGGCGTTGCTCAACAAGTCAGGATATGACTGTACAATTGCTGAAGGCGTTGCTCAACAAGTCAGGATATGACTGTACTGTTGCTGAAGGCGTTGTTCAACAAACTGGGATATGACTGTACAATTGCTCAGGATATGACTGTACTATTGCTGAAGGCGTTGCTCAACAAGTCAGGATATGACTGTACTGTTGCTGGGGGCGTTGTTCAACCATTTAGAATATGACTGTACTATTGCTGGAGGCGTTGTTCAACAAACTAGGATACGACTGTACTGTTGCTCAGGATATGACTGTACTATTGCTGAAGGCGTTGCTCAACAAGTCAGGATATGACTGTATTATTGCTGAAGGCATTGCTCAACAAGTCAGGATATGAATGTACTGTTGCTGAAGGCGTTGTTCAACAAACTAGGATACGACTGTACTGTTGCTCAGAATATGACTGTGCTATTGCTGATGGCGTTGCTCAACAAGTCAGGATATGACTGTACTATTGCTGGAGGCGTTGTTCTACAAGTCAGGATGGCTGTACTTTAGCTCAACAAGCCAGGATTTGACTGTACTTTTTCTGAAGGCGCTCTTCAACAAGCCAGGATACGACTGTACTATGGCTTAAGACGCTCTTCAACAAGCCAGGATATGACTGTACTATTGCTCAAGGTGTTCTTCAATAAGCCAGGATATGACTGTACTATAGTTGAAGGCGTTACTCAACAAGCCAGGTTATGACTTTCATATAGTGTTCATAAAAGCCTACGCAAACGTGGACGGTGCTTGGACGCCGAAATGAGTGTGAATAAACGTGAAATGTTTGGTAAATGTTGATATATGATGCTTGACATCAATTTCTAACTGGATTGTAATTGTTTCATTTTTATCTTCCAGATTATCCATTACTGTCCAATAGCTTGTCAGAATTACCGGCACAGACGAAAAGAGCTCAACGTGGATACTACCTGGGTGAGTACTTGTAGGAACATTCTCAATCTGGACCCCTGTAAATCCGCCAACACACATCCGGATGAACGTTATCTCGTACTACATTCTAAGGATGGAGGCTGTTTGCTTTTAAGAATTACAATTCACAACCTTTAGTATGCATATATACACTACCGATAACAATCCCCCAGAAATCTGAGTTTTCAGGTAAGCAACGTCCAGCGTAACGCGTTTTCTGTGTACGGATATGAAGGCCGTACATCCCTTCAACAGACCACACATTAAGCCGCATCACAAACATGTATTCCCATCCATCGCGGGCCATACGTGTTCACAAAAGATATTCTCATGACATATGTTTCCACACAAAACAATATTTAACAAAACAATCGAGTTATGGGAACTACAATGTGGCAATGTTATGCCCATATTCTCATGAGATATGTCTCCACACAACACGATATTATTACAAAACAATCAAGTTATGGGAAATACGACGTGGCTATGGTACGGCCACTTGGATGTATTATCCCCAAAGAGAACAGGCTTTATCAAGCTGAAGGCTGGTAATCACGCCTGGACATGCCATGTTAACCTAGGACCCCAAGGTACAATGTCACATTCAATACTAAGCGCTGCCTGATCCGGCATGCACTCGGTGTATGCTGTCAGCATTTTTACCTCTGATGTTGAAATTCAGTTCCCACTCCGACGTCGTCCCAAAGCAAAGTAATCGTCCGGTTTGACTACACACTGAAAGCCAAGACGTGTCTGTTATCTACTATGGAATAAATCCTACCATGGCAGTTAATATTGGTCTCGGTACTTAATACCATGTATCCTCTTATTTGGAGTGCTTTCTAAGTAGTCACCTTACTCCTAAACGACTGTGACGTCATAGTTTCTGACATGTTAGCTTATCTTCGCTATACATTATTAATGCCTGACGTGTGTGGTTGAAGTATAAATACTTATGCACAGCACTGTTCTTTGTATAATGGATGTATTGATGTTTCCTTTATTCAATTTGAAAACCTCTGTCAAATCATTCGTTTCATTTTGTCAAGACAGGATAGAGATAAACCTTGTGTTGACACGTTCGGTTCCACATACAAGTAAGTAGGGTTAAATGTTGAAGTAATGGTGCTGGTCCTACGTTGAAAATGAGAGGGTATCCTACTTACTTAGTGCAATCCCAAAGAGAACATATGTTAGAGGGTATCGTAGAGCTCAGAGCATCACATACGAACACACTTTTCCAAAAGTGTTCCCTTGCAGTTCAGTACTTCTGTTTCATCTTATCCTTGTAGAATGTCCAGTCCTGGTTTGTGAACCGGTACGCCAGGAACATCCAAATTCTGACCATAGGTTTATCTGACCACAATATATATTTTCAAAATTTGAAATCACTAAGTAGGTACTAGGCCAGATCTTTTGAATAATGTGAATAAGGTTGAGTGAGTGAGTGAGTTTAGTTTTATGCCGCACTCAGCAATATTCCAGCTATATGGCGGCGGTCTGTAAATAATCGAGTCTGGACCAGACAATCCAGTGATCAACAGCATGAGCATCGATCTGCGCAATTGGGAACCGATGACATGTGTCAACCAAGTCAGCGAGCCTGAATACCCGATCCCGTTAGTCGCCTCTTACGACAAGCATGGGTTACTGAAGATCAATATTCTAACCCGGATCTTCCCGGGTAGAATAAGGTTGCAGCGCGGACATCCCCGAAGCAGCCATTACGACATGCCCTGGTGGGAACGTGAGAAAGTCGCAGTACTTCTCTTTGGTAGATTCACTCAATCGTTTAAACATGACATACTATCGCCATACTATTGAAAAATACGATTCCCTATGGTAGATATTCAATGTACTGCATTGTGACTCGGCCGTTCCTAAAGACGGTGGTTATAGCTTTCGTTGTGGTCCTTGTTTAGACTCAGCGTCTTGGTTTTGGATGAACTGCTTCCTCTCCATGAATCTTGTTTGCACTGGGGAGCATAGTGATGGAAACAAGTCTCGATGCCTGTCACTTGTCTCAAATGAAAATCTTCGGGGTTCCGATTATATCTGGTCAACAGGGCGTTAGAAGTTATGACCCGCGTTGCCTTCATTTCATACGGTAACAATCTAGGACTCCACCGGGACCAAACCTTTGACATACGTAGATGTTGGTGAAGGATATTGTACATTGATCCATGAGAGCCTAGGGTCTCCTTTAACTCATCGAGTGTAAAACGCCTATTGCTCAGTACCAGGTTGTGGAAAGCATCAGTGTTATCTTAGATGACCAGATGAAGGGTCAGCCAGTGCGGGTGTTTGAGTGACATATTGGCCGCCTTCCAAACACTCTCTCCCCCGCTTGGATTACTTTACACACAATGTCTACCTGTGGCACATGACGGGACGGCCTTCACAGAGACAGCATGCAACGACTGTACTACTGCTTAGGGACCGTTCATAATTTAAGGTTAGGGAGGATGCTAATGATTTTTATTGAGAAGCATGTACAATGTGATGACCCCCCCCCCCCCCTAAAATATATGTACAAAATAAGTGACCCCCTGCATGTCATTTACAAATGCAATGAACACCCCCTCCCTCCCATAATTTCTAAGCATACTTTTAAAATACTTTTATGCACGAAATTGATGATCCCCTAATACACGTGTACAAAATTTATGACCCCTAGCTCCCCAGAACAAAATGGGTCCCCACTTAAAATCATCATCACCCCTAGCCATAAATTATGAGCGGTCCCTTAAGACTTTCTTCAACAAGCCGTGGTATGGTCGTGAACGCGCCAAACATTGTACCCAGCGTCGATATCTTGCTCTAACAAAAGATACAATTCCATGTATGGTAAAGGTTGATATGTGATGTTTGATCACTCATTTGTCTCAAATGAAGATCTTCTGGGTTGCCATTAAATCTGGTTAAGAGGGTGTTTGACGTGATGACACGCAGCTTCCATCTCATACGTTGGCATTCTAGAACCCCCCGGGATCAAACCTTTGACAAATGTAGACGTTCGTGAAGGACAGTCCTTCCGTTCATCAATATGATTTGGTCATTGACCCTCCAGGGTGAAAATATTAATGACTTTTCTAAACTCGGTTCTGTCCATAACCATGCTAAGGGAGAGCATCCCCTAGAGGCGAGGACAATTATAATCAAGCCACTGAAACACGCCAAAGTGTGGAGGGTGATTCCACAAACACAGGTCAATACAGGATACAAGTGAACATAACAACCAGATGCGTCAGATATAACACATCTGCCGTACCCCACAAGCTTTGAGAGTAAACTACGATTCTGCCACAACTACAAATACACCTATGGTGAACCATAACAACCAGATTCGTCAGACTCAAAACTTACAGATTACCCCTTTCATCTGCCAAAGCTTTTAGAGCTTCATATTCAACAAATACGCCTAAAGTAAACTACGACCCTACAACAACTACAAATATACACCGATATTGAAACACAACCCTGCCACAACTACAAATACACCTATGGTGAAACACGATTCTGCCACAACTACAAATACACCTATGGTGAAAAACGATTCTGCCACAACTACAAATACACCTATGGTGAAACACGACCCTGCCACAACTACAAAAACACCCATGGTGATACACGACCCTACCACAACTACAAATACACCTATGGTGAAACACGACCCTGCCACAACTACAAATACACCTATGGTGAAACACGACCCTGCCACAACTACAAATACACCTATGGTGAAACACGACCCTGCCACAACTACAAATACACCTATGGTGAAACACGACCCTGCCACAACTACAAATACACCTATGGTGAAACACGACCCTGCCACAACTACAAATACACCTATGGTGAAACACGACCCTGCCACAACTACAAATACACCTATGGTGAAACACGACCCTGCCACAACTACAAACATAGCTATGGTGAAACACGATCCTGCCACAACTACAAATACGCCTATGGTGAAACACGACCCTGCCACAACTACAAACACAGCTATGGTGAATCACGACCCTGTCACAACTACAAACATAGCTATGGTGAAACACGATTCTGCCACAACTGTAAATACAGCTATGGTGAAACACGACCCTGCCACAACTACAAACATAGCTATGGTGAATCACGACCCTGCCACAACTACAAATACGCCTATGGTGAAACACGACCCTGCCATAACTACTAACATAGCTATGGTGAAACACGACCCTGCCACAACTACAAATACAGCTATGGTGAAACACGACCCTTCCACAACTACAAATACACCTTTGGTGAAACACGATCCTGCCACAACTACAAACATAGCTATGGTGAAACACGATTCTGCCACAACTACAAATACACCTATGGTGAAACACGATTCTGCCACAACTACAAATACACCTATGGTGAAACACGATTCTGCCACAACTACAAATACACCTATGGTGATACACGACCCTACCACAACTACAAATACACCTATGGTGAAACACGACCCTGCCACAACTACAAATACACCTATGGTGAAAAACGATTCTGCCTTTTATAATTCACGCCTGTTTAAGTCGGACGTTTACATCGAGTGTTGTAAGCGCCCTCACCCGGAACGCTATAGAATGCAAGTCTTGAATACAATGATGTCTGTGAGGACCTTCTATTTCCCGACGGCCTGAATTACAAAGCACATGAATATGAAAGCATCAAGAAGAAGAAGACTGAAAGAAGCCTACTGATGTCGACCCTTCACTCGATCTGCTTTAAATACATGAAGGTCGAACACTCGAACATCATTAAATGTAACACAATTGTCACCATTTTTGTCTTCAGAAACAAAACTCATTGTTTCCCAAATACTTCGTGGTCAATACCATTAGCTGATTCTATTATCTTTTCCCATTTAAGTGCATTCTCTATAATTACTTCTTTACAAAATTACATTTTCTGACGTGGGTCCTTCCAGAAGTGGTAAATGTACTTCATATTCTTCAACACGTTTGGTATTTTTAATCCAGGGCTAAGTTGCACAAAATACTTACAATATGCTAATTTAATAGTTTATCACATTTAAGCATCTTCAAAATAATTACTTATTTACAAAAATAAATATTCTGAGACAGCAACATCACGTGTATACCCACTGAATGCATTACGTCAGTGGACGTAGGCGACTTTGGACATTAGTTTCTGTAGATGTTGGCAACTGGAACCAGTGAGGAAAATATAGATATAAAATAAAATAGTCAAATAAAAACGGCTTTAACTATGAACGCAAACACATAAAAATACCCGTGCTAAAAATTTTAACCAACCAGAAATAACACTTCTTTTACCACGACAGATGTTTTACAAATTGTTGACTTCTGTAAATTCATTTGTATTTCAACGTGTGATATTGTTTGGAAATATCAAAACAGTTAGACAGATGACCCACTGATAATCTGGTCCGGATGGATCCTTTTACTCATAGCACTGATAACACAGATGTATAATAGACTTAGCACAATGATTGTTTTGTACAAATGTCACCAGGTCCCGATCAATCGAAGCTAACTTAAGTCTGAGTTTTGACATAAGTTAGAGTTTTTACTCAAATTTGAGAAAATGCATTTCCCAGAATGAACTGAAATCGATATTAAACTCAAACATTGTAGACAATTTGAGTTTGGTTGACAGATTACTTGTTGAACTTGTTAGGGCTTTTTTATTTTTAAAAATGCAGTTGAGGTAAAAATTCAGCTGTTTCAAATTGTCAAACCCAGTTTGAAATTTGAGTAAGACCCTAAGTTTGTTTCGAGAACTCGGGGCCAGACCTTATTGCAATGAGAATTTTCTGTCAACACTAGATGCACGCTACAATCTGAGAAAGAAGTAAGCTTGAATTAAAGCATAATACTATGCAAAAGTAGATCTATATTCAAAATCACCTCTGAACACCATACTTGAAATACACGCTCCGTTATGTTCAATGACGGAAGCTGTTCACCTTGGCGCTTGTGACATATTGCGACCTAATGTATAGCTTTTATTACTGTAACTTACAAACATTTGAAGTAAAACAGTGTTCCAGACACGGGCCGATGGTGTAGGGTGACACGGCGTATACAGATGCAGCATATGTAACTGACCGTGCAGGTCGTGTATCACCACGGCAGTGCCAGTCCGTAGTGGTCACGGGAAGGCTATCTGGACAGACGGCCGTGTTTGCAGCCTGCTCTCCACAAATCCATTACCAATGTGGCGACGACCATAAGTCGATGCACTTTTAGATCGTAGCCCCGTTCATATGCAAGCAGGATACATTTGATTATCATGTCAAAACCTCTTCTTCTTATAGTATTTGTTCAAGAAAGACAGAAGTTAGATACATCGGATGCACGGAGAACAGACAAAATGTCTAGTCATGAGATCTACCTGTCCCGGTATCCACGGACGCAGATTTCGTTTACCGAGAGTTTTAACGACAAAACCTACATGAGTCGATCACTGAAAGTCAGTTCTGATTACAGGTGTAACTAACGGACACTGTAAATGAACGTGTCATCTATTCTAATGTATGACACATCTACTCTTAGCGAGAACACAAATATTTAGACAAAACTATTTTCCCAACACCAATCAAAAAGGAATACTTTCTCAGAACTTACCACAAACGTCTAACCTGAAACCGTGTCATAATATGTTAAATACGTCAAAGATGCCCCTTAGTTATATCATCTTGTAGAATTCTAAATGGACTTTAACTGCACAATTACCCTTTTGTATGTCCCGCATTTTTCTCTGTATGCCTTTGCTGATGTCAACAACCGACCAACAAATAACACTACACCGCATTCATGAGAGATGTGTTCATTGGCGATGAAGAAATATACGTCCTTGAAATATTGATACTTATGATAAATTAAATTACGTAAAATCAGATGAAATCTTGTAAATAACAGTACTGATTATCAGCAAACCGAAACATGAGTCTCTTTACCTATTCAGACAATGACCTACTTTTCAGCCGATCCGAATTTTCTCTTGTGAAAGTACAAAGAGACACCACAAACAACTATGGTTACACTGGTTACACTCCAATTCCTTGTTGCATGAGAAAATGGTATTTACACTTGAATGTTAATTTTAAACTTTAATAACATCGTATTTTTATATTTTATGGCGAGGTGTAGGCAGCGTGACCTTAACTTTGACGTCGCAGACTGCCCAAGTTTGATGAGGTCGTAAAATGTGATTGATTTAATATCAAGTCCGTACCAGACTTCCAAACTTTTCTAGCGGCAGAGCCTCGTTTTAAGATTTCCACGATTTCCAGATTTCCGTTTGTCAGAGCACGCTGGACGACAGAGCACACTGCACGACGTGTTTGCAAGGATTAGAAGGGGCGTAGTGTTGCAATATACAAGTGGTTAGATAATACTGATTAGTATTTATGTATCCAGTTAAATGAATTGGTCTCAGAATTCTGGACTGGTTATTGTACTAAGTTGCGCAATAGGACCGAACTATGTTGGTTTAGGTCGTAATATGACATATGCACAACGAACAGCAGTTAGCTAAAGGTAAACTTGATGAAGTAAGGGAACAGAGTTAGTGAGTGACAAATATTCACAGATGTCCGCATAGTTAATTAGTAGCTCCAAGAGCTGTATTTACAAAGTTTTATCCTACAAAACATCCCGTGGGCTCATTACCTGGTGACGTTGAGAGTGGTGACAGTGGCGTCCTGTCTTCAGTCAGATAGTGACAACTGTTATCACTTGGTCCAGCAGCTGGTACAATAATGACCTAGACACCTTTATGTCAGTCGAGAAGGTTAAGCGGTGCGCAACGCTGAGAAATACACAGCTATATCTGATATTATGCCACGTATTTGAACTTTGCAGGCGACTTATTCTAAAGGATTTCACCACAGGTTTCAGATCGATCTTCTTAATTAGATATTTCTTCCAAAATACTACGCCCTATCGCTCTCTACAAAATGTGAACAGTTTAACATCTCGAACTTATCAGTATGTAAAGAAAAGAGCTGTAAAGGTTTTTATATATCTGTTTCTTAAAATAAAATGTCCTCAAGATGTATGAAAAAACGAAATCATTTGAATCACTTGGATCCAAGGACTTGGACTGTTTTAATAAAGTGTTGTTTCTTTTCCAGATTACAAGCGAAGCAGTCTGAACGAACTGATTCAACGTCTTCTTGCAATGAGAGGAAATTCTAGAGAGACTGGTAGAGCCAACATGATGCGATTTGGTGCCGGACGGCGATGAAATTGGCGCCATGTGGCTTTCAGCCAATCACAGCAAAGCATATCGTGATCCAGTCACGCTGATTGGTGCGATAGTCGAGTGTTTTACATCAGTTACTTCTTCTTCTTGGCGCGGACACGTACTCTATCTCAGAAAACTAGGAAACGATCTCTTCTCACCTCAAGAACATTGTGGTGTTGTCCACTCAGGTGGTAATATGTCGGACAGTATTTTGTCCTGTGTGCAAACTACTACGGCCGGGAAAGTAGAAAATGTTGTGTCATATACCCTGGGCCTCGTCTCGTGATAGAGTGCATCATGAACAAGCCCACTGTATTGCTAGGACTGATTTGTGGAGCGAGGCCCTTCTAGTTCTTCGTATTATTTTTCTGTTCCTGTGTCACTGTCATTTGCCATATAAAACTGCAAGTTATCACGCACCGGAGATTCCCTTTAGCATTTAGATTATGTATAGAGACAAGTAGCGTCTGTCATGTTTTAAGAAATAATTCACATTCACGTGTATTTACAAACGTATGGCATTGGGTCCAAAAGCAGCCGCACCCGTGTGTGTCTTCAACAGTATCTAATGCATAAAGATTGCCATATCAGGTTCACGTATTCTTCACGTTACATGTTCGTTTAGTTTTTTATGAAATATCGTATTAAATCCTCTATCAGTTAACCGGAAGCGCTGTTTCTCTATGTTGTCCTATACGAATGTCGTTATCAAAGTCTCTTTTATAAGTCCTCGGCTCCTTGCTGAACGAACACTCAGATCTATTCTTGTGTTCTATCTGTGACTTGAGGTCTTAGTTTTCAGCTGCGTTTCTGACAATACAACAGAAATCCCTGAATACATCAGTCAAAGGGTCGACACGTATCTGTATCATTCATTCCCCGGGATGCAGGGTCTCTGATGTGCTGGGCCCACTAATCTACCAACCTCTCACCAGTACTACTGGCATTTAATTCAACATCTGACCTGGAATCTCATCTATTACGGTTGTTTGATAGAAATTATCTTGGTCTATGATCTGTAGGGATACTTGAAGAGCAATGGTTAATAAAAACGAATTTGTAGAAAGATTTCTTTCTTATTCTTGAACAATAATAACAAAACAGCTACACACACGTTTGATCATGGAGAGTGCTGTTTAAAAATAGCTGTGTAATTTGGAGCGAATCCAGATTACCGCCAATTCAAATACTTCAAAGATGTAAATATTTTTTAAATATTTTTTTGTAATTCGAAAGAGAGTAAACAAAATTATGTTGATACACATAAAAGTCGATAGTTTCAAAAAGTCAACTGGACCTTGCTGCATATGGATCAATGATATTTACAAAATGCAATTTCTGTCACAATATGGAAAGGTGCTGTTGTCACAGTAGTTTATTGCAAGGGTGATTACGAGAATAATACACAGAGAAGTTCACGCTACTGTTCGTTGATATGGAAAATATCAAACGGGGTCATTGAAGTGGCAATTGGCACTATTATCAACTAGTCAATTTATGCACCGAGTTGACTATGAATTATTCACTCTTAATCTATTAAGTTCACTCGTCTCCAATAAAACAAACATTAAATGAACGCAATACATAACCAAACATCATATACACACAGAACTTAGTTAAGCAACCCCTGACATATCTCACGACTGAATGAGCCCCGATCTTAACCATTAGGAGCATATCTGGGACTTGATTGGTCGTCGTGTGCAACAAAGGGATGCTCCTGTACAGAACCTTGCCCAGTTGGAAGCTGCTTTACATGAGGAATGGCGTAGACTGTCCCCGCTGACAATGGGTATGAGGGGGGTAGTGCTGGATGTCATACAGTCACATGGAGGTATTGACCTTGAATCGTGTAAGACACGCAACGTGTCATTTTGAATAGTCACATTCGCCAATAAATTCAACATTAAACATTCCAATATATAACCAGACATCATATTTAACAAGTATCTCTAACTGAAGGGCTAAGGCCAACAGCCCTCTTTGTGGACATGGTGTTAGAGGATTGTGTTTCTTCTTTGCCACTGTTGAGATGTGGACAGTGTATATCAAGATGGACTGAAGGAACACTGAAGGTGATCCAAGAAGCAAGAAGCCCCCAAAATGCCACCATGGAGGAAAAGGTTGATGGACGCCTCACGACATAACATAGCCAGTAGAGGGCTCTCATGAGTTGGAAACATATTGACGAAAAAACTAGGCATGGCTAATGTTACCACATGCTTAGTTCCTGATGCAACCACATGCTCAGTTCTTGATGTAACCACATGCTCAGTTCCTGATGTAACCACATGCTCAGTTCTTAATGTCCCCACATGCTCAGTTCCTGATGTAACCACATGCTCAGTTCCTGATGCAACCACATGCTCAGTTCCTGATGTAACCACATGCTCAGTTCTTGATGTTCCCACATGCTCAGTTCCATGGTTCTTGATCAGAACGTTCCGATCTTTATCATCTCTCTCTGAGAATGTATGTCGTTTTGAAGCAGCGGTTTCAATCACATAGCAGATCACCACAATCAGCTGCGGACAAAACAAAACAATCAAAGCAGTGGAATCAAGGAACGCCTCTTCCTCTGAACTCATTTAATCATTTGTTGACCTTGCTGTTGCTCTACCTTCCAAAACATATGAACAACAATGACCAGCTGCTTAGGCAACTGTACTCATTGACTATTCTCCGTGTTCACATTACGACAGATTTCAACCTTACCCAAACTGTCTGGTAAGCGCTGTGTGGTGGTAAGCGGTGGTAAGCGCTGTGTGGCGGTAAGCGCCGTGTGGTGGTAAGCCCTGTGTGGTGGTAAGCGCTGTGTGGTGGTAAGCGCTGTGTGGTGGTAAGCGCTGTGTGGTGGTAAGCGCCGTGTGGTGGTAAGCGCTGTGTGGCGGTGTGGTGGTAAGCGCTGTGTGGCGGTAAGCGCTGTGTGGTGGTAAGCCCTGTATGGTGATCAGTAAGCACTGAATTGTCAGACTAATGCCAGAACATTTGAAACATTGATAGTGCAGCCTGTCTCTAAGCACGCAGTATACTAAATAATTTAATTTGATAAGCAACAATTACAATGTTAAATACTTTAGACGACTTGACGTGTAGTCTGTAGCCGGTCGAAGCAGTCTGGTGGTAGAAGTCAATCATATCACATGTAATTCACGGAACTAAGGATAGACACCATTGTGTCAATGTATCCACTGAAGGTGTACACATCAGGCCTTGTAAACAGCCACGTGTAACAGCAATCCAGGTGGCGAGCATGTCAATCAACTTGTGTTATATCAGGAGCTCCTGAAGGAAATGTTGGAATTCTATACCTGACTTGTCAAAGAGATTGAGCAATCTGTTTAGAGAATTCAGTCTCAGACTAAATGCTATAAAACGTTCTACTGGCAACATGCCAATATAAGTACATAATGCAGTTAGGAAAAATAGATTATTAGTTTGTGATTGGATTCTGTTATTCCAAGAACTGAATAAGTGTGCTCAATCTTAACGGTTCCATAAAGAAACTAAACTTTACATTTGTTCAATTACATATCCCTTAATGATGCTATGTTGCTTTGTTGAATGAAAACATTGATTTTTATTGACCTACGAGATAAATACCAGAGCTTTCAATTTTGAACTGCTGAGGGGAGCTTAAAACTAAAACCAATAACTAAAAATGTTATTTGTTAGTTCTAGAATTTGAAGAAGCGGAACAGTAAGAGATGTCACACTGCTCAATCCCCCTGAACAAATGTTGCCATGATTGCACCTGCCAGCAACATAATGTTTTAAATCAATTACTGTCAGGATCTGTGATCAGTTCAAGAGTTTTGTTAGTGACGGCGAGAATCTAAACGAATCAGTCTGGGATCTCTGCTGATACACAGCAGTTGTCAGCTGTTCAGACAGATACAAATGATTGTGATCGATAACTTCTAAGTAATCAATACAAAGGGAGAATTTACAACAGTTAAGTTAATGGGACAACCTGGCTGCTTGTTGCACAGTGTCACCCCTATCCCTAAACCAGGCCGTTTCTGTGTGTTGTTAAATATCCGAAGGGGAAATCACCAACAATATATTATTGTTTCATGCTCACCTGATTAATTTGTCTGTGGGGCATGTACTGCCTATGGGAGTTGTATGGCTTTGTTTCAGAAACTTCAAAAGGCTGTCAGATCCTCGCCTCCACCTATTGTAAATATAAACGAAAACCCTTTCTAGGTATATACTTAATGTCCGCTAATTCGACTGGACTATTCCGACTATATGATATTCATGTGTGTATGAATTTATCAGATAGTGTTAATACAAGTGGTACAAGCCAATGGGGTTCCTGGAATATTGCTGAAAGTTTAAAACTATACTCAATAGCAACAAAACATGCAGCCTCACGACAATGCAGAAGGCTTAATAAGCCGCATGAATCTTGTGTTCCACTCAATTATGTAGAGACCTAAGGATGGTTTCAATCATTTGTGTATATCAACATCCAAGCAACTGTTAAATACACTGTACACGTATATTGATGTTCGTCATGGGCGTGGCTCTTTTTATTGACTCAACACTATGCACGATGATTATTTTCCCCAGACAAAGAGCTTGAGTTGTACAATAGATACTGGATTGTAATGTCGCTGCCGTCGACGACTATATCGTCCCTTCAGTGTATATGCTGATGCCATTGTGATTGTATCTGCCGACGTAAGCATATTCACGATAATTACCTCTCCAAATATTAAAAAATTCTTTGGCAATACATTACGCAAATAATTACTTGGATTCATCCAGGAATACAGAAGGTACATACGTTACTTTCAAGATTGTTAATCTGGAATCTAACACCTTTGCAAAAATACAATGGCAGAAAAAACCTTGACCTTTCAAATTAACAATTCACAGCCATCTCTTCAATCCATAGAATTTGCGTATCTAGATTCCTTCCCCCGTAGGTAGCTCACATATCATTTGCAAAACCTACACTGTACATGAGCAGGGAGTCTATATCTGTGTTCGGTCTCCTTATTTAGGTGTACTCAAATGCGGGTGGAGCTTGTGTGACCGCATGACAAGTGTTTCGTACGCACTCTTTCTCACCCACACACCTACACAAAGTGGATTGTTCTTATAAAACAACGTATGCTGGCACTGCATTGTTTGTGAGATTATAAACCTTAACAACCTTCTGTACAGGGGTGATGGGTTGACCTCGTCGTTAAAGCGTTCCACGCCGAAGAATCCAGTTCGATTTTCCAGTATGTGTGAAGCCCATTTCCGGTGTGCCCCTGCAGTGATATTGCTGGAATATTACTTAAAGGTGGACTAAATCAACATAAATTTCATAAAAGGTCAAAGTGAAGAGTTTATTGTAAAATGTTTACAGAAATATCGTATATTTTACAGACAACAAAGTTACAGTAGGATATTTCTATATCTTTGTTTACTTTTGCCTTTCGTTCCAACAAAGAAATATACACTACTCAAATGTTTGCAAAGGACCACCACATTCAAAGGTAGTAACAGTGCAGGGGCTTGTGGAAATGCGTGGGAATTACATGTTAATTGTTGGAACCAATACTAATAAATTATTGTAGTCACTATTGTGTATGGATTTAGAAAAAACATGGCTCCATTTTTTCTGTTTGCTATAAGAGTTTCCTAAATTGCTTGCGACACCATTTCTAGAAAAAATATTTTCATAAACTTATCACAACATAGTCATGTAGCATATCAAAAGGTAGCTTATGACGCATGATATAGAAGTAACCACATAATATGCTTCTAATTTCAATTTGGTGACAAAACATATGACATAATCATATAAATGAATCAATTATTATCTATCCTTCATCGGACACCAACATTGTAAGTATTGGCCTATATTCATGGAAACCATTTATTCAATTAATGTATTCTTCCAGTTCATAATATATACAACCATGATACTCTTATGTAGTAATAGTAGTACCCAAGTAAAGTTATTGTTACTGTCATATAGCCATGCACAAGTGTCAAATCAGGCCTACCATTACAGTCAGAATTGACACACTGACACTTCTGTCTGGATAATTAAATGACAAATG